TTATCAATTTTTTTTAATAGCTTGTCTCGATTTACAAATTTTTCTTGCATAGGGGATTCTCTTGAAAATTGAATCAACTGGGAGACAATATTCAGGGAATTAGGGTAGAATAAGCAAGGGAAGGTCGTCAATAAAAAAAAGTTGCCATTACATTTGTATCAACGTTTTGTTGGGTTACCTATCTCCCTTTTTTCGAGAAAATATCCATATAAGAAAAAGATTTGTCAGACTATCTAATATATATCACCTTACCTGGTGTCATAGTAAATATTTCTCTCTTTTGTTGTGACTAAAAAAAGGGAAAAAACACTAATATTAAAAGCATGCTTCATCTACAAAAAGCACAATTATTTACAAAAAAAGTCATTCAATTATATAATCATTTTTTGTTTATTCTCACTATAGTCGATGACTTACAAAAATTATTGAGTTTTTTCTGCTAACTATAAATAATAGACATATTCTTGAATTAGCACATACATTAAAAATAAAGCTTTGATCTATTTTGATACCTGTTGAAATATATGGATATCAAACGTCACTAGCATTAAATGATTTATAAATAGAACCTTATACCATTTCAAGATTTTATTACTGAGGAATGTCCTTATTTTCAAAATGACTTTAATTTAAAATTGCCTCGTAGCTTTGAGAATTTGCGATTAGAACTTTAAAGCGTATTGCTTTTTAACTTTCTATTTGACACGACGCAACAACTCATAAAAATGTCATAAATTCTTTGGCCCAGCATGAAATAGCTAAAACAAAAGTACGTTACAAAGTCAAGTATCGGGATTTTACTATCCACTATAAATTAAATCCGTTAAAAGTTATGTTAGGACTTTCAATTGAAAGATTGTATTAGGTTTTCTAGTGCCATATTTTATGCAATGTTTCATAGGTGTTTAGATATTTTTTTTAAAACGGTTGTTGCATTACATTATTTGTTTCGAAGAGAGAAGGAGAGACAGTCACAAAGACTGAACCTTCCCCTGATTTCAACTGAGATGAAAATTCTTTTTTTTTAAACTTGCACTAATATCAACATATAAAAAAAAACCCCGAAGACTTCCTTTATTTCGAAAGATTGACATATAATTATAGGACAATCAAGTAAAAGCGAAAATCGAAAGATTTCACAATGCTTAAATCTATAGCTCTTTGGTTTGTTTGTCCGAATTTTATTATCCAGAAAGCTACATTTCTGCACAGTTGAGAAGAAGATTTTTAGAATTAAGATACCATTTCATTTTTATGTTTTTAATAATTTCCCTTCAAAAGAGAGCTTCTTCAACAAACTTTATTCTCCTTTACCCATAAAGATTGCATTGTGGTAAGATTATTTGAAATTGCCTCATTGGTACTTGAGAAGACGATAAACTAATGAAAAGATTATGACGAAGACATTGTATTAAATTGAGTTAAAGACAGAGTGTGCATAAACTTTGCTAAATTTACTGATGATTCAAACCCCCTTGTTCTGACCTCCATACATGCTCCATGTTGAGGTTGTATATACTGAAATATGTTACCTTTGAAAGTGTTCTCGTTTTCTTGATGAAAATAAGCAGTTAAACAATTAACATCATTATATTGAGCAAGTAGTCTTCTACTGATTTTTTTTTCATTTCATGGCCCCAGCACTAGTGACTTTGACCCAAGAGAGGTCTAAGTCCAGAACATATATTGAAAAATACTTTTAAATAAAACTTTGGACATCTTTATTTGTGGACATGTATCATGCAAGTTGTTCATATGCTTACAATGATGACTTTAACCTTTACCAAAGTATTTAGTTTGATACATCCTTAGTCCCTATTCCTCTACAAAACCATGTCGCTGTAACCAGGAATTATCCTGGACGGAGGGAGGGGGTGCTACGTTGGTCATATACATGTTTTTACACCAAGCAACTACTAGACAAGACAAGCAGCACGAGTGTATTTCTGATTATAGAGTCTTCGACGGTAAAGTTTTGTCACCAGTTCCTTTTGGTTAATTTTAATTGGCCATAGCCAGTGGAACACATAAATGTAATACTCAGGTGACCGTTTAAGCCCATGGGACTTTGGTTTGATAGATTTTTATAAATGCTCACCTGTACATTGGCGTTGGCAGCTTTAAACTTTGAAACATCGAAACTCCCAACACTTTCACGCTGAAAAATATAAAAAATGAAAACTATTACATGTGTAGGGTGGGATAAAAAGTAATATAAAATAGTAATATTACTTACATTCAAACATTTTATTTCAACAATATTTAAAAATATACATTTCAAAACCTTTTTCGTAGGAATTAAAAGCACATATAATTTTTTGATGGATTTTATGAAATATTTAATCTGAAGAGGGTAGCCGTTCATGGTACCAAGCATAAAGAAGCAATAGCGAGCGGACAAGCAAGGCGATCGCCCCCTCAGTCTCATAATGCTGTCCTCTTATTCTCGCTCCCCTGCTTTGTTGCCCTGTCATTGGCATTAAACTTCATTCTCTCGCTTTGAGAGACAACCAGTGAGAATATATTCATGTAATGTAATCATATAACAAACTTCAGGAAATATCTGATAGTTTTACAAATTACCATCTAAATTGTTTACCATATACATACTCTTGTACCCCATAACATAAAAGTTCGTGAAGCTCTGAAACACCTCCCTAAAAGCCAAAATACCTCAACAACAACTTCCAACATGGTGGCTTTAAAGAGTTGTGCAACTTAACCCATATATAACCAGTAGATGAAACATAGGAAATTAGTAAAAAGAAATTGACAACATACAGAATTTAGTCTACATCATTGTGGCTGAGACCTACCGAACTGGAATTTGACTGGCAATTCCTCGCACCTGCCATTTCCTGGAAGAAATGCTATGTTTATCCAGAGACTTACAGACTTATCAAGCGTTATAGAGTCGCGCAGTTAATTGTATAGATATTGATTTCTCTTCACTTAAGTTTTAGTCGATGCTACAACTAGGGACTAATTTTCCATAATTATCACCACCCAGTTTCACATTACATTAATAGATTGATGTCCAAAATTGATTAAACTGAGGCGCCATTTTAACAGGAATTGATTTATAAAAACTGACCTGTGATTTACCTTTCGTGTTTTTGTTACATTTCTATAACTAGATGCTGTCATGAGACAGTAATACCCGCACTAAGGTGTTTGCCTCTAAATACACAATCCTACGGGCGGTTTACCAAGGAAAAAGTCAAAATAATTCTATATAATTCAGGCACGTAGCATCGTTTTTGAAAGTGGGGGGGGGGGCAACCTGAGAAAATTTTTTTTACTAACCTAAAAAAATTAACAAGGAAAAAAAATGAAATGGGGGGTGGGGGTGGGGGGTGGGGGTGGTGGCCCCTTTTTTTTCAAGGCAAAATTACTTTCACTTCCAATTTTTCCCATATTTCCTTGCAATGTATATACTGTGGTTAAAAGTGGGGGGAGGGGGCAACCATCTTTTTAATGGACATTTTCTTATAGTACAGGTAATGTTGGGAAAAAGGGGAGCAGCCCCCCCCCCCCAAGCCCCCCCCCCCCGGTTGCTACGTGCCTGTAATTTACATATGTATTCATAAAATTGGGTATGAAATTATCCCTGTGACCTATAACTCAGAACCTCTTATATTTATTTTACATGCTTAATTCATTATATACCAGTTTGAATTCTATTAATAATGTAAATTAGATTTTGATAAATGTTTTGCTCATATTAGGACCTTTTTAAATTTACTAATCCCCCCCCCATTCTCGACACCACAATCACACAGTACATACTTTTGGGAATAGGCTAGATGGAACAGTTTTGTTAAAACAGTGTTTGTTATGAATTAATTAAAAATTTGTTCTTGACATGTAAATTCTACATCACATCACGTTGCGTCACCCATTATCATATTTTTAGATTAAACTCCATTCGGTACACACTCGGCCGATTCCCACTTCATCTGATAAGGTGACGGAATCGACGGCACGGAGGTTTTCCGAATGGAATATCATTATAACATGCTGCAGAATGGTGTGCTTTGGATTAATTCATTTTGTGTTATAATTGGATTTATATTTCATGAAGTTTACAGGACCTATGGAGGTCGGTAAGTACAAGTTTAAGTATAGTGGGGGTAAAATAAACCCAAACGATTAGGTTAAAGTTCAAAAAGGGTCAAAGATCATGGCATGCCACACTAGACGAATTTCATATTGTGAAGTTATCTCCCCTTGTCGATGTGACATTCAGTTACTGCCAATACTGGTGCGGATCCAGAATTTTTTTCGGGAGTAGGGAGGGTTCACATCTCAGTCAAAATATTCATGCCTAAGAATTTCCTGACAAGCAGGAGAAAAAAATCATACACTGAAAACAAATAAACAAAAAAAAAACCCCAATGTTTTCTTAGTTAGGGGGAGGATGTCCAAAATCATTTTTTATTTGCTTCAGTATATAGTCTTGTTTAAATAACAAAGGAAATTCCAGGGGGGGGGGGGGTTCCAATCTCCCTACCCACTCCCTATCCCTGAAATAACAATCTATTTTGTGATTCCAATTAAATAGTATATTTTTTTCCATTTGACTAATTATGTACATATTTTGTTTCTTGTGTTTATATTATGTCTGTATATTTGTCTGCAGAAAATTATAACCTTGCCCAAAAGTTTTTCAGTGGATGGGCTATACAATTGGCTTCCACATTTTATAGGTTTATTTCTTGTGACAATTAAGACCTTTTATTTGGGTACCATTAATTTTTACCTCTGATCACTTGACCTAGAATACACATTTTTACAGAAAAATACCCAACTTTAAACTTGGCCTAAATTTTGATCAGTAGGTGCTAGGGCTTTCATGCTTAACATGTGTATTCATTGTCAACTGTCAACAGGTATAAATATGTTTGACCTTGACCGTAGAGTTTGAACCACTTAAAAAATTAACCTTGGCAATTAACTTTTGAAGAGGAAGTACTAGGGATTACTTATTTCACATGTGCATTCCTTGTGATACCAACAATTGACCTTGACCTTTGAGTTTGACATATATTTGAGAAACTTCAACCTTCGCCATAGGCTACCAGACAGGGACATCAGTGTTTCACAAACACATCTTGTCTTCATTATTATTTGGTGGTGTCTCCATATGACGGAAAAATTCCAATGAGATATGTATTCACAACAAACAAACAAATTACTAAAGAAAATATAAAACATGAATATGTTGGTCATGCATATCTCTGCATGAAAAAAAACCCAGCTTTTCAAGTACTGCAACCATATTGTAACCCTTTCAAAACACTCATTTGAGCTTTTCTGGTTTCCTTGTCATATAACGTCTGTTGTGACATGTTGTCCATCTGTTTGTCTGAAAACTTTTTACATTTTTAACTTTTCTAGAACCACTGGTCCAATTTTACCCATGCAATTCATATAGAAATATGTACATTTGTATGTCAGACTGTTCTTCTGTCTGAATAAAATTAACCTTGGTTATCACGGTCATATCTACTGAATGAGAAGAGACAAGGCATTCATATTAAACTTATGTACTAGTATTTACCTGTGAGAATGGCATGGTTTTTTTTTTTTTTTTACATATGACCTAGAAGTTTGACCTACTTGCAAAAAAATTAAATTGTTATAAATTTATCATTTTGAAAGAGAAAAGTTAGGGCATTCATATTATAATGCATGTATATTATTACCTGTGATAAGATCTTTCCAAATGAATCATGACTTTTACTCTGTGACCTTGACCTTGAAGCCTAACCTACTTTTCAAAAATGTTGCATTTGCTTATAACTTTTGATTGAGATGAGATATGACTCTCACATTTGACATTTGTACATTAATTACTCATAAAAATTCAAGATGTTTCCCAGCTTGCAATGTTTTTTTACTCTTTAACGTTAATGTTTTACATAATTTTCAAGATATTTAATTCTCCTAAAAGATAATTAGGCTTCTGAGTAACATTAAGGAGGACCTCAGGAAAGACAGGACTTTTTGCACAAAAAATGTAATTTTCCACCCCCATTTGACCTCCCAGGGCAATATCAAAATTCCAAAACCTTGCTGCACATCTACATGACACTACCAACCATCTCCCTAAAGATGATTAGGCTACTGTGTAAAATGTAAGAGAATTTCAGGGAATTAAGACGGGGCTTTTTGCATAAAAAACGTCATTTTTTTACCCCTATTTGACCACCCGGGGCAAAATCAAAATTCCAAAACCTTACTGCACATGTACATGAAACCACCAACCATCTCCCAAAAGATGATTAGCCTACTGTGTAAAATGTAAGAGGAGTTCAGGGAAGACGGGGTTTTTTGCATAAAAAACGTCATTTTTCGACCCCCATTTGACCCCCCGGGGCAATATCAAAATTCCAAAACCTTACTGCACATCTACATGACACCACCAACCATCTCCCAAAAGATGATTAGCCTACTGTGTAAAATGTAAGAGGAGTTCAGGGAAGACGGGGCTTTTTGCATAAAAAACGTCATTTTTCAACCCCCATTTGACCCCCCGGGGCAAAATCAAAATTCCGAAACCTTACTGCACATCTACATGACACAACCAACCATCTCCCAAAAGATGATTAGCCTACTGTGTAAAATGTAAGAGGAGTTCAGGGAAGACGGGGCTTTTTGCATAAAAAACGTCATTTTTCGACCCCCATTTCACCCCCCGGGGCAATATCAAAATTCCAAAACCTTACTGCACATCTACATGACACCACCAACCATCTCCCAAAAGATGATTAGCCTACTGTGTAAAATGTAAGAGGAGTTCAGGGAAGACGGGGCTTTTTGCATAAAAAACGTCATTTTTCGACCCCCATTTGACCCCCCCGGGGCAATATCAAAATTCCAAAACCTTACTGCACATCTACATGACACCACCAACCATCTCCCAAAAGATGATTAGCCTACTGTGTAAAATGTAAGAGGAGTTCAGGGAAGACGGGGCTTTTTGCATAAAAAACGTCATTTTTCGACCCCCATTTGACCCCCGGGGCATATCAAAATTCCAAAACCTTACTGCACATCTACATGACACCACCAACCATCTCCCAAAAGATGATTAGCCTACTGTGTAAAATGTAAGAGGAGTTCAGGGAAGACGGGGCTTTTTGCATAAAAAAC